AACTAGAAGGCGTGAGAATAGTCACGTGATCTCGATGACGCAACAATATTAATATGACATATATAATTGTTAAAAACCAAACAAAAAGCTTGATTTCAACCAAGTAACACATAACTTGTAACATAAATTTTTATATTTGTTTGCTCATTACTTAATGAAAACAAAGAATTTAACAAGACGTTTAAGCAATGCTGGAGTATACTAACATTTGTAGACACACGACAAAAAATTACTTTTCAAAGGTACTGACATTAAAATATTGACGATATCTCTAGACACAACATAAAATTACTTTCTAAGGTACTGACATTAAGATGCTAATAATATGTAGAAACGCGACATAAAATTACTATCTAAAATACTGACATCAAGATATACGATATGAAATTATTTTTCTAAGATGCTCATTTAAGATTTTCTAAAGAAATAACATTAAATTATATCTATTTGCAATACTGATATCAAGATTAGTGTAGTGACGTTATGAATCGAATATTTGGAAAATTTGTATTGCGATAATTATAGAAATACATAAATTATTTTTTTGAAATACCAAATTTTAGATGCGAAGATAAATCCTATAAAATTACTTTATTAGAACTTGTACTAATATGTTAGTAGACAATCTTTCATGAACAAAGAAAAGTTTCCTCTTCAGCTTCGAGAAAACGTGATATACATTTTAAAGAAACTTCTTTCATTCAAAGGGCACTGAATTTCCCACCTTGTACACTTTTTAAAAACAATTAAATGCTTAATTACCGTTATAATTACTTAAGAGATATACCATACTCATGTTTTAGGCATTGGTACATATTGTTACGTCTCTGTTAATTGATTTTCCGTAAATTCGTTCCGACGAAACTTTAGCGACACAAGTCTTTTCTTAAACAAAACTGGTTTATTCTTTCCGAATACAACTTTACGATACACTCAACTTCAACAGTCGCGCTATAACAAACTATAGTTCACGTCTCACGAGCTCTACTTCAACACTACTTTCTCACTGCAGATCAATTACTCACTGTCTACACACATATTATTGTCCCGTCACGCTGTCACCCTCTTATATATACCAAATTACCCTATATCTAGTAATCTCCCGACAATTCCCGAAGGTTCGAGAGAACGAGTCACGTGACCTCGCTGACGCAACAATATTTTTATTCTATGAATTATATAAGTGTTTAAGCACATTTTGACGCTAGAAATATAATTATGGGAGAAACTTTCAAATTTGACGATGTGACAATATTTTGAAGAGAACTCTTCTTTAAGGCTTGACCTTTATACTGTAAATAACATTATTTAGAAGGTTCTTTTTGGTATCATTCTAATGTTTTATACTGCAAATAATGTTATTAAAAATGTTCTTTTTGGCATCATTCCAGAGGTTTATGCTGTAAATTACGTCATTAAGAATGTTATTTTTGGAATCATCCAGTGTTTTATGCTGTAAATAACGTTATTAAATGGGTTATTTTCGCATCTTTACAGTTTTATACTGTAAATAACGTTATTAAGGTTCTTTTTTGGCATCGTTCCAGTGTTTTATACTGTAAATAACGTTATGAAGAAGCTTTTTTTTTGGCATCATTCTAGTGTTTTTTGAAATTCAATACTTATGATTGTCTTGTGTTGTACAGAAGAATCAGATAGCGGAAGTGCATTTGGTTCACCAACTTTATCAGAAGCTTTATGGCCTGGACAGGAAGCTCCAGCAGCAACAGAAGGAGTTGGATGTGGTTCATCAGCAGCTGTTGGGCTCTGGGGCTCGTCAGCATCCGATTGCTCGAGAGTTGTTTCAACAAGTCTATGTTTCCAAGGTTACATAGTTATTAACTTGAAGTTTGTTTTAGCATGGACCCGATTCAAGTATGCTTTGTTTTACAAAATATTAAGTGATTTAAATGGGCTCTGATTTAAAAATTCTACATATAGCCAATTATTTCTTCTTTTAATATTGTACTTAATAATATGCACTTTTCCGTCCTTGTTTATCCAATCATTTTACTTTTTCGTGTAGTTTTATATTAGGTTTGTTTGTAGTTAAGCACAAAGCTACACAAAGGGCTATCTGTGCTCTGCCCACCACGGGTATCGAAACCTGGATTCTAGCGTTGTAAGTCTGCAGACATACCGCTGTGCCACTGGAGGGGCTTTATGTTAGGAAAATTGTGTATGTTTAAATTCAGATAATCTAATGGACAAATATACAGACCCCAAAAAGCTGCTGTTAGATGCACAGTTAAATTGAAGTAATGGATAAATCCACCTATCCTGAACAAAGTGTCACCAGATAAACTAATACAGTGTTTTCAACATCGGAACCCTAGGAGTCCGTGAACATTTTAAAAGAGACCCATCACATAGAAGAGTGAGTTTTCATACTATCATTTAAAAACGAAATGGCGCTTTTTTTAAAATCATTTTAATATTGAACTTGAATTTTTTTACACATTCATGTCGGAACTGCTTTTATAAACTGTGGAATCAGCTTCCACAAATGGAACTATCTGAGTATGGGAGCTCTCGAGATTGGTTTGTGAAGAGGTTCCATGAAAACAACAACACTTAAATACGAAAAATCTTCATAGAGTGATTCCTATATCTTGAAGTTCACTTCATGTGCTATTATTAACACAAGTCTTTAGCTGGTCTGAAGTCAAGAAATTCACAATGGCTTGCTGAATTTTGTACACTCTTTCTCTATACTATTAACCCTCTTTTTTCAAATTGTGTTTTCTTTTCTAGCAACAAGTTAAACACCAGAACCAAGAACTAAGGAGGTTAAGAACTGAGCTTCGAACCAAACTGGAACCCATTCAGATGAAGTGGTCCAGTCAACTTCGAGAACTATTTCACTACGGTCTTTGTAGGAGTAATTGTAATCTCTCAGAAAGTGCAGTCACCAAGCCACTATTCTGTTTTCCCCAGTTTCCTCAAAATGACTGCTTTTCCAGCATAGGGTACGAGACTTTTGTCCAATCACAGTTTTCTCCTGATCAAGGAATCTGTAGAGGCAGGAATATTTCCTTTTCCCAGGTACTAAATAATGTGGCTGTAAACTGTGACCAACCTACAAACCTGGAACAAGGTCTCATTTATCATTCTTTAGAAAATCAGCAGTCTTTTCCATGCATGGGAGATTACTATTCACACAGCTCAGAAGTAACCCAATCTTCACCTCACACCTCTTCCACGTATACTCCAAGAAGCCATGGCCAACACCCATTTCTGATGCACCCTTCCAGTACGTGTGACTCGCAGGAACTTAGCCAGATTGCTGTAAGCTATCCCCTGGATGGTAGTTCCCTGTCTCCTGATACTTTTGTCACACATTCTGGTTTGTACACTGGAGAATTTGCCAATAATCGTTGAAGTTACTTTTACGTGAATTCAATGACAAATAACTTTGATAAGTGGCTTTGGACGAGTTACGATGTTAAAATCTTGTACAATTTAGGCGTTTTTAATATATTTTTTTCACTTTGTTTAAGTTTTTAAGAGATTTTAGTTTTAATTTACATCCATTATCTGTTGTATTTATCACAGCAACCTTTTTTTGTCATTTAACTTTATGTTGTTATTGTTTAACATAACAATGTTTTGGAGCATATCCACATATTAACATAACATTTTGGGACAACATGGGGCCTATTGGTCCATCTCGGCTGTTCCATCCTCTAAACTAAATTAAAATAATTTTTAAAAATCTTAAAACTAGCCCTTATCATTCATATACTTATCGAGCTTTTTCTTAACCTCACTTACATTTACTGCTTCTACAACATCTGAAGGCAACTCATTCCAAAGGCCAACAACCGTTAGAAAAATGAAACTGTCTTAGCTGAAGATGACTCCAACCTTGCCTAAATTTATATTTGTGTCCACTAGTCCTACTATTCTCACTGTGAAATATAAAAAAAAGATGAAGCATGAACACTATCAATTCCCTTTACAATCTTAAACACCTCAATCAGATCCCCTCCCCTAAATATTCTTTTTTCAAGAGAAAACAATTCGAGAGATTTCAGCCTCTCCTCATATGTCAACGCCTCTATCCCAGGCACCATTCTAGAACCCTTTCCAACAATTCAATGTCCTTCCTAAGGTAAAGAGCCCAAGACTGAACACAATATTCCATATGCAGCCTAACCAGTAACCTATACAATGAAATTATAACCTCTTTAGACTTGTGTTCATTATTTCTATAGGTACAACCTAAAATCCTATTTGCCTTACTACTAGCAACAGTACATTGCTTGGATGGCTTTATGGACTGATTGACTATTACACCAAGATCCTTTTCCTGCATAACACTGTTATGGTTATTCCCAT